GACAAAAGCTCTCATCTTTGTCCCATTGATGTCAAATTTTCTATCCCCTCCACTCCTGAGGACAGACCAACAGCTCTCATTTTCACTGCCTTGGAAGCACTTATCCCCAAACACAGCAGAGAGTTCCCTAAGGAAAAGCTGGGGCTGGCAAGTGGTGATTGCACTTGGGAGCGGACACATTTCCACATCTTACTGCTGGCTGGAGCCTGAACTACCCCAGAAGGTCCCACCAGGGAAGAGCCTGGGCGGATGCCGAGAGCCACAGGGGAGCTCAGACATTTGGCATGGATTAGTTCCATGAAGACAGCCGTCAGTCAGGGATGTCAGTTCGGCAGCTCTGAACAATGTGAAGTTCCCAGGCAAGACTTTTCTGCCCTTGAAGTGCTGCCTCATTGATTTGCAAAGTGAAACCGTGTCAGTTGCAGTGGAGACTTGGCTCTGTATGTAGTTAAAAAAGGAGTAAACAAAAAGCCAGGGCAGAGGATTTAAAGCCAAGCTCTCCTTATGCAAGTGTTGATAAGTGCTTTGTGGAAACAAGTTATTTCAGCAGTCACAGTTCCTCTGCAAGCCCCGAACAGAGCCTGGATTATGCCAGCTAAATAACAGTGTAATATGATGGTTTCTTTTGAAGACACACACTCCCAGTGTCAATATCATAGTCTGTTAGAGCAGCTGTGTATCAGACAGGCTCCTCGGGGCCCCATGACTACACGTCCCCATACAGGACTAACGCACTTACAGCAGCTGTTGGAATGAACGTATTGTCTTCGCGGATCAATGCTGCTGTTACCCGCAGAAGTGCTTTTTATTACCGGGTATATTTTCTACTTCTCCTTGTGGCCACAGGACTACTATAAACACATGAATGTTTGGGACAAGCCACCTCCACAGCACTGGTTCTGCCGCAGCACATTCCCCAGAGCATCGCAAACACCGTGAAGCATGGAGCTGTTAAGGTGACTGGGTTGTTTCTTCCCAAACCTTCCACAGTCTGGGCAAGTTCTCTCCCCCAGCCCTGCTCACTCCCCTCTGTCTTTCCTTTCATCTTCTTTTCACTGCCTTTCTTCCCTGTAATAAGCCTTCATTCCAAGGTCTCATTTTATGTCCCTAGTAAAACATTAAAACAAGAACACTACAATAAAAAATCAGGGCAGTAACCAGAGGACGGTGAACTGTCACACTGGCCACTTCTAGGTATTGTTCAGTGAAAAAATTGTCACATTTTCATTGCCCAAAAGAAGGCCCTGATTTAATCTAGCACTCCTATACATTCAAGATGACACAGGAATATATTACTAATGTATTTATTTCAGAGCCAGATTCTGTCTTTACCATAAGTAATAGTTTATTTGTAAAATTACTCCTCAAACAATACCTTTTGGGTCTGAATTCCTCTTAGCCTTGGGAATGTGGTCAGACCCAGGATACCATGTGAAGTCCATTTATTACTATCACCATTACAGCTTCACACACAGTTCAACGCTACTGCACATCCCGGGTTGATCCGGGCATATTCGGAGTGCCTTTGCAGCGGCTACCTAGACCTTTGCTGATTTGTGCTAAACCTTTCATTTCAGTTCCATGCTGTTATTCTGTTTGTCTGTCACCAGACTTTGCAGGTGACTCCCTCCCTGAAGAAACTGTGATTTCTTTTGCTATTAAATTTAACTACAGTGATTACTTTCTGCAATGGCAAGAATTTTTTCAACCTTCCCACTCACAATGTCTGTGGCTGGTGAGAAAACAAATTACCTGTATAAATATAAATGCTCTCATTTAATTGAAGCTCCCCATGTGAGCCACATTCTCATGATTGCTAGACTCTCTAAGCTTTGTTTGATGGGGGCACCTGTGATTTAGAGTGGAGCATTTCAAAGTCTGAAGACAATAGGTCCCATTCTTTGTGATTCTTTAGACATGACAACTTGCTTATTACCTCCCAAATAACAGTAAAAGTGATGTTTATTCTGCTTTCAACAGTCTATTCAGAAAGGCCTTGAAATTCCAAATAACAAAATGTGCTAGCATTTTAAATCTGCACTGATACTTTATTGCTTTCAGTCTGATTTCCAGTTTAATTGGTGAGTTTTATTTTTTGATAACTCTGTTTTTCTCAAAATTTGTTTCTTTTCCCTGTACCTGTCCTCTCTGTGACAACAGAATGGCTGTAGCCAGTCTGATGGCATTACTTCTCTTGCCCCCAAAAGCTGGGGGCTTATGATGCAAGACAGCTTAGTGGTGAATTGCGACATTAAGAACTTGAACGGAACCCAGCTCACGAAGAAGCAGTTGGAACGGAAAAGCAAAGTAAATAAACCTTGGGGTTTATTCACCCACCGATGAACAGGATATTTACTCTGCACCGTAGTGCCCCAGCATTTACAAACAATTCACTAACCTATGCCAGAAAGAAGTCGCGGCTGGCGGGCTTACACTGCATTTTGAACGCTGTTCTTTAAGACCGCAGAGGTCCAGATGAGGGGATCATACCACTGCAGGAATAAAAGACACAAGGCTCAGCTCACTCTGTGTATGTAGAGGTAAAAAAGTGAGAACCTGGCCCAGAAACCAGGGTCGGAGCTGCATCCCCCCCCCCGCACCCCAGCACCCCTGCCCGAGCTCCCTCCAGCCTGAGCCCCGCACCGCGGGCTGCCCGGCCTCCCTGTCCCGGCAGGGACCACCCCGAGGGCAGGAGGGACTCGTCGCCACCCTTGTCGCCCTGCAGGTTGCTTGCCACCAGGGGTCAGCACCGGACCAAGGCCGGGGGCTGCCGGGTGCCGGAGCAGCCGCGGAGCCGGGGCGCAGCTGGAGCAGCAGCAGCCGGACGGGTCAGGTAGTTTCCATCACGAACCAGAGAGCACGTCCTCATGGATTTCTCCACGAAAGGGCACACAGAAATACACTTACATTAGCCAAGAAAATAAGCTGCTAGTTTGCTGGAAATTGGAAAAAAAAAAAAAAAAATTAACAGCAGCAAAGGAGAAGAGTCTGTTAATTTAAAGCATTTCTGTATCTCATCCCTAAAGCCTCAGCTCTGCAATAGAAAAAAATATTACAAAGTTAACCAAGCAAGGCAGTGGGGTGGGTAAACCTCTTTCTGAACACACCGAGTGGAAGCAGGGTGCGGCATTGCCAGTGGAACTGCTTACACAAGTCATGCCACAAAGGGCCTGAGGATGTTCCATCCCTTTTGTCTTCTCAAAAAGTAAATATTTAGCAGCACACTTCGTTTTATATTTGCTGAGCTCAAGTTGGTGACAACGTAGGAATTGGAAATGTTTTTTGCTGTTTTTCAATATCATGTTGTCTGAGCTGTAATCTGAGCTTTAGCCTGTTTCAGTAACAAATTCAAGACTTATTTCTCAAATGTTTCCCATGGGACAATGACGCCTGTTTGGCATCCAGAAGACAGGCTCATAACAAGACGTTTGGACTCCTTGTGTAGCTGTTTACTTCATGGGCCTGTTTACCTTGTCTTCACTGGATATGTCTGCTGAGCTAATGTCCCATATTTTAAAATATTTTTGGTATATGTGTAAGACGAAACAGAAGTGCTCAAAGCACAGAGAGGATAGATCAGATATGCTTCAGTAGGGCAAACAACTTTTATTACAGACTAAATTAGGATTATTCCAGCCAAGAGACAAGCTGAAATAGATCAATGAATTGTTGCACTGCTTTTCCATCGTGCCCAGACGACTTCTGAAACTTCCCAGAAACCAATGCTTGCCTGAGCTGTGCCAGGGACTGTGGAAAGGTTCGTGGAGGAACTCTTACCTTTGGAATTTAACAAAGGAGTTATGTGAACACGAGCTCTCCCTGCGCAACTCTTAAAACAATGGCTGCTAAAGCGGTTCATGACACCAGATCCAAGTGCCTGGAATCCCTTGTTGCAGAGATGACATCTCCATATGTAAATTTATACAATATAGCTATATGGTTCATCGCTAATAAAAAAATGTACAGGCATTCATTTGCAAGTGGTCACTGTACGAACATGCAAGACCCAGTGCAGAGTTCAATTCAGAGTTTTCTTTATTAAAATATCTTTTCACATTCCTTATACTAATGCATTTGTATGGACACTCACGGGATGCTAGAAAGAACATTTGTCAACAGAAGAGTGCTATGAAGTCAGTCATTTGTGAAAGGCTTATGATACACACAACATTTGCATAGGGAACAATAAATTAAAGATATTGGCCAGTAACTGGAGCTTGAAGATTTCAACATTTGGAATGAAGATATAAACCCCTTTTGTATTTCTCGCTGGTTTTGCGCCTTTGATGCAATGCTTAAAGCAGTAACTATATATGTATATACAAATCCATGTCCTCTCTTTCACTATTTCCTAATTAAAATGAGAATCTTCTTACCTGTGGCCCAGACCTTGTAGTAATTTAATCTGCAGTAAGAAAAGGAGAGCAATTGCAGTGTCAAAAGACCAGCTGGTTAAGGGGCTGGGGACAGTACTTCTTCTGGTTTGTTTTGTGTTCTTTTTTAAAACTAATGTGACTGAGATAAACACGGGCTGCAAAGATAGACCCAGGTCCAAACTGGATCTATGTTAGTGGTTTATCATACTATAGAGAAAAAGGATAGGTATGGAGTTCCATACTGGACACAAGTACGGCTTCAGATCTCTCCTAAAATCAAAGGAATAAGGATTATACATACAGGATTTTCAGGTACAAACTCACTGACCTGGGTATAGTATATCCACCCACTCAAGACCTATATTTTGCATCATCTGCAATAACTGTGATGGGCAATCATTCCTTGAAGAACCATCACACCAAACTAACCAACAAGGATCAGAACTTTTAAAGGGGAAAAGCAATTTAGCAAAGAATAAAGAATATTTGTGCCTCTACTGATAGAAGCACTTGGTAAAATACTGAATCTCTGAAGTTATTCAAGTTTTCAGAGAGCCCAGAGCTCTAGGCCCTCATTGCAGTGTAGCATCCAAGTGAGCTATAAATTAACTGGCTCCAAGACTGGTAGCAGACCAGCTGCTGCAGCACAGGGAGTTCAGCACAAGCTGCAAGATCATGTCAAACTGTATACCTGCCTGGCCGAGCTGTGCTGAGCTCTGTTCTGCCACAGTAGTGTTACTGATAGCCAAGTTAGCTAGTTTAAATTAAGCTTAGATATTTCTACATCCTACTGGCATCACAGTAGTTACTGCACTGTAGAAGTGTACTTCTTCAGCTGTAGCTTCCCCTTTTATTTCCTCAGAGCATGATGAATTGGAGGCTAGAAAGACAAAATCGCATTAGCCAGAGAAATTAAAGATAAGAACCTAGGTCAGTAGTTTCTAGAGCCACTTTCCTATGAGAATTTTTATTTCTAATTTTTTCCATTAAATGCTTTAGGAACATCTCTATTGTTCCCCTTAAGGAAATAAACTTTGATGAGCCTGGCAAATTCATAAATAAGTGCTCCAGAGCTTTTGAAACATTTGCAACATCTTCCATCTTGGCTTGTTTTCTTCTCCCAGCTGATCTTTGACGTAAGCGTTCTAAGTAGCATCAGGATGCCCTTGTATTCTCTGTTGGCAACAAGACCAAAAAAGAAAAAAAAAAAAGAGTGTAAATGTCCCCCTGCCCTCTCCTGTCCTTTTTGATCAATACAAAAACTTTAAATATAGTAACACATTCCTTAGAGCACTGTACAATGAGCTAATAAATACTCACAGTTCCCTGGGGAGATATTAGTATTATCTTCATCAGATAAGAAAGGAAATAAGACAGTGGGAGATTTAGGTTAACAATTACAGGCTAGACTGTAATACTGTTAATCACCAACGTCTGCAACTGGGCGCTAACTGACAAAAGTTGGATTCTTATGGGAATTCTTATGCTGGCACTCAACGAAGCTGAAAGTCAGACCCCTTATTTACTAGTAGAAGCTCAGCTGCCACAATTAGGCCCCCATCTTCAGTCCCACGAGAATGAAAACCTCTTCCTAAGGCGCACTTTGGTATCTCAACAGTGAGCAATGCAGCGTTCAACTTTTAGACCCCGTGTTTCTACAAGAGTCTGCTCCTTTGAACAGGTTATCCTCAGTACACGGCAGGGACACAGGAACCTGGCATGGAAAACCACAAAAGGCACCGTGCAGACAGAGGAGTCCTCTATGCTAGCCAACGGCAAAGGGCAAAGAGAGATCCCAAACTTCATTGTCTTAAGATTATACGACAGAAATAATTTTGTCCACTGAGGATTCACAACTGTCAAGTCTTTCCTGACATCGGTTGGCAAGGCAAGTCTTCCTCCAACAAATATCTGCTAAGAGTACGTGGTGGCCTCTAACCTAATAGTTTAGTCTGTCAGCACGGAGGCGCCTCACTCCTTTTGTGGACTTACCCCCAAAGGATTTGCCCCATGAGTCAGAGGCAGGAATTCCTGGTTTATAATTCAATGTTTATTTCAGAGTATCACCTTGTTTTTCATATCCTGACTGCCTGAAATCCCCCCCAATTTTAAATGGACACATCCTTCATCTTCATTTCCTGCCTGAAACTATTGTGCCATGTCACTGTGCACAGTTAAACACATGCCAGGTCCCCTTTCAGAGCTGGGTATGTTGTGCTGGCAATGTGAAGCAATTCCGTTACACTGAGAATTTACAAAATACTTTTGGAATCACTTGAGCAACATGAGAAAGTAGCTGAAAAAACCCCAGAAATTTCTCCGAATAGATTTAAATTGTACAGGTTTCTGTCTCAGAGGGTACATTCTGAGGCTGAACAACTTTAGGCAGCTGAAAGTACACTATGTCCTGACTGAGGCTGCCAGTCCTCATGTACCCCTAGGGCAGAATCAAACAAACAAACAAACACACACATCTAAGAGGTAATAAGGGAGAAGGAGATATGAAGTCAGAATGTACCGCTGAGGTAAATTTGACACAATACCAATTAGTATTTGGCGAAGTGGCTATCTCATTGTTAAGATATTTCCTTCAATATGTTTTCAGAAACTGGGACCATTAAATAACTTAGAAAGATTGCCAGCTCTGATTTCAGGAAGGAAACCTCCTCCCAGTTCCTCTCTAAGTAATTCATTTCTTTTGCAAATACTTCCTATGGATGGCATTTAAGATACAAATTTCTGAAACAGAGAAGAAAAAGGGAAGCAACCCCCAACCCAAAACTTTAGGTTCATTTCCAAATGACCTAAAAGTCCAAGACATTCAGGTTCAGGGTACTCTGGACTGCAACTGGGCCTTTATACAATTCAAATAATTCAGATTTCAACTGATTGATTTTCTAGTGCACCACCTTTCTTGACGTAATACAAACACATTCAATGCCTCTGTGTCACACAACACCTATTGTCAGTACACAGTGTTTACTAAAGCCCTGAGCTCAATTTTGTAATGGTCTTCTCAGTGAAGAAGCAGCAAAGTTCGTAAATTTCCATGCTGGACTTTATTTACTCTGACAGAAACTACGTAGGGGCAAACACACAAGAGCAGGGCTAGCACTCCTTAAAATGATTTGCTTCATCTTTCATTTCCACAGTGCAGTACTCCATTTTGCCTGTGACTTTTGGAAGATCAATGCAGAACAGAATAAGTTAACAGAGTTTATCCAAGGAGTGGAACCCACACTGTTATTTGAATTTAGAGAGTGAGAAGGACAGCAGGATCTGACGTCAAGTCTCCGCCATCATTACTGAAACAAAAATGTTGCATGTCCTCCTGTCTCTGAAAACATAGCTCTCAGCAAAACACTACTCTCTCTGCTGTGGTGCCCTTTGTCCCACACTTCTGGAATACCTATTACTTCCTAAACAGAGTGAAATTCTACAAGTTTTTTGACAGGCCACTACAGCTAAGTAATCCATCTGGCATTTCATGTGATTAAGATGCCAGCTGACTAGCCGAGCTCCTGAAGGCCTCCTTTCAGTCACAAAAGGGAGAAGCAGATCAAAAGCAACTTCACCTCTGAGCCAAATACTTCATTTGGCTATAAAGAAGCAGAACAGCTGGGGAGGAAGTTTAAACCACTTGATCACTTTAAAAGGAGCATTTTCCTTTTCATGAGTAGGATCAACAACTCCTCATTTGGGCCAAACCTCCGAGGTACACCACAGTTAAGCATTATGTGAAAACGAGCTACAGAAAAAAACAGTTGCAAGAAAATAATGATAGAAAGCACCTTAGTGGGTCCCTGCCTCTTCTGTACTCATCTATGTTGCCTGAAAAGTGCCGAGAGGCAAATAGTGGGGATGGAAAAAGTCTATAAAGAAATGTATCTCTCCAGTCCAACTTTAGGTCACTTATCTGGAGAGTTCAAAAGAGGGATGGTGCTGCTTTTTGTCACAGGCTTTATTGGGAATAGAATTGGGAATTTAAGAAGCCAAAGACAGGGATCTGGGGTTTTTTTTGCTATGTCCTTTAAAGCACTAATAATTCAGAAAAAGGACTAGTTACTATGCTAAGTACATGAACAGTATCTAAGGAGGGGACAATGTCACAGACATGAACTGAGTAAGGCTACTTCTAGGAAAACTCAAGTAAGATGTGCAAGTGTTATAAAGCTGATTTTTCTTTGAGGTTTTTCTGAAAATGGCATTAGTTTTACAGAGTAACTAGTTTTATTACTCTCCTACTGTTAACAGGAGTTTGACAGACAACACAAAGAAAACACTGCCCTCAGCTCACATTTCTCCCTTGAATCTAACATTTCTTCATAGACTGTCTGGTTTAGGAAGCTTTACTAGCCCAATTAATTATGATGAAAGTGATTTGCATGGGGTAGTCAGTGCGTTTTCACTGAAGCAGCCTCATTATTCTTCCATGGAGATATTTTTTTTACTCACTTTTGGCCACAGGAAAAGAAAACAAAAAAATCTTCATAAAACTTTAGTCTTTCATCCAATGTCCATTATAAATTACGTAGAGTATGGGGAAAAAGAAAGTATGACAAAAACTCCTCCCTGAGCTTACACCAGGTGTCTGTCACAGCCACTCTTGATCATTTTTCCTTCTGTGCCAGACAGGGACAAACTTTCTTCTGCGTGACTCTCCAAGGAATGCCTGGTATAACCCAGAGGAGGGTTCAGCTCCATTTATTTTTAGAAAATTGAGAGCAAAGAATAAAAACGAACCTTTAAACTAAAAGAGACAATGATACTATAAACCCTACTGGCCTGTTCATATATGTCTGTTTATTGTAACACAATCTGTGACCTTCAGTGCACTGCCAGTGTCTGTAAATAATACAATGGGCTGCTTTTTTATCCCTTGGGGAAGTGAGTGCTGATGGAGCCTTCCAAAACTCAAATGGATGCCATAAGGTGACGTAGCCTGTGCTATTGTGATTCTTATTTACAAGTCTCTCTCTCTCTCTTTTTTTTCTTTTTAAGTACAAGTTCCAAAGTCACAAAGTGGATGGCAGAAAAAACACCCGGTCTGGACGGCTTGAGGTTGGATTAGGTAATTTATCCAACATTCATAAAATACTTCTGAAATGTAACTTCCCTGCCTCTTATATCTCTTGAGAGCAGAGTAACAACTCATTCAAGACATGTATTCTTTTTTTTTTAAAAATCTGTATTTTTTCACTGGCTTCTTGGCCCTGTAAAGCTGTTCACTGCATACAGAACTTTCACAAAACTCCTAATTGTTTAGCTGAGATCTTCCGTATACGGCTAATACTATTCTCATCTCTTGGTTAGAGCACCATAACTGTGACAAGCTATGTACTCTGAGGTAAAAAACTGCTTGCCTTTAACATTTCTTACAAGGTCTCAGTTTTCACCCCCAGCCATTAGAGTCATCCCACTTGCTGTATCAGTGGATGAAAATGAACCCAGAAGGAAACAGTCACAGACAGTAAATAGAAGTGAATTCTGTGAGTTCAGGTGATCAGCCATACCTCCTTAGTTCAACTCTTCATTTCACACCTTAGGAAGGACCTCACGTCTCTGGATATTCCAGTCGCAGAACATATGTGTGTGCATGTGAGTGGGCAAACCCTGAGGAGATTCACTGGCACTGAACATCCTATAGATTTTACAGATGGGACTGGAACAACAGCTCTGTCCCCCATGAGACATTAACCAGCTTAGTAGGTTTTCCAATGCAAATATTGAGTGCCTCAGATCGATCAGGAACTTGAAGCAAGCAGCAACCATCCCCAACTTCATGCCAGTCTGTCAGCATGAGTATTTGTGGCACTTATCCAAAGCTGTGCAGGTGTTCCACACAAATTCTTGGAAGATCATTATTTGTCATCTACCTCCTGTACCAGCACTACCAAGTACCAGTCAGTTCCGTGGACTGTTAAAGCTGGCTGTTCTATAAACATAGTACTGAAAGCCTGATTAGTAAGAACATATATGTAGGGATTGCCCAATAGCTGTCCAGGCATGGCTCCGAACAACAAACAAACAATTCAAACGTAGCAACGCTTGAGTGCTATCTCACTAGATGCACAATAATCTCAATCCAATTTCCTTATATTTAACTGCTTGCATAAAATATATACTTACAGAATGCCTGTTTTCCACAGAATCTGCAAAATAAAATACAATGTATAAATTATGAAATGGCAGATTGCAGAGTGAACAGTTCTATGTTCTAGAAAATAGACTTTTTTAATAAATAGACTCTTTAATCTAACTGTTTTTGTTCACCTTGCAATGATGTAAAATTGCTACCTACAACTAAGGTTCAAGCTCTGGTCCTAAGAAGTGCCCAAGCTATAGCTTAATTCAGGTAAATGGGTGGGACCAGAAATCTCAAAGACTGTGTTGAACAGCACGTGTTTGACAGCTTTCCTGATTACGGTTTAGAGCAGAAGTCTTTCTGAGAGCACAAGCTGTTACTGGACAGAAAAGCGTCTTCCTTTTAGAGGCAAGTTCTCATGAGCATCATACTTCCTCTTCCAATTCCTTGCCAGGAAAGTAACGTACTGCAGAAGTCTGGTATAGGATACAATTTTCAGAGCCAAATAAGATCCTGCAAAGACACCTGAAATTTTGTGAATAAAAAGATGCTTGTTCCCAATGAAAGCCTGACAGCCAGTGGGCTCTTCCCATTTAGGATCAGTGAATACCTTTTAAGATTAGACCATAGGCTTTTTTTTTTTTTTTTTTAAACAGTGGATTTAGCTATTCAGAAGTCCCACAGAATACCTTCAAATACTAAAACATAAATATATCTTTGCCTTCTGAAAGTAAGGCAATCTAGAGACATGAAGGAAGTAACTCCACTTTTAGAAAAGGACTTCAAGTCTTGTTAAAAGTGCTGTTTTGTATGGTCTGTCATTTCACACGTGACAAAAGTGCTGAATCTTGAAGGGTATTTTCTTGGAAAGTGTGGCAAATTCAGCTGAGAGAGGTTGTGTCAAGGAAATTCATCTAATGCTCAAAGCAGAGGGTTTGGACTAGGGCTCTGGGTTAATCTTGCCGGTATTTTTTCTATAAATGCGGGTTAGTCTCTGAATCTATGTTTTTTCTAAGTATGCATTTTTTTTAATAGCAAATAACAACATCAGCCCTCCCACAGGCAGAACATTTATGTAAATTTTGAAAAGCTCTCTGAAACCATTAAACGAAGGATATTATGAAAAGCACTACTATCACATCTAGAACTTAATAAAAGTTTTCTAGAAACTCCCTTGTCAGCCAGCAGAAGTGACGAGGGAACTGAACACAGGTGGATCTAAACTTTGCAGATAACAAGGCTAAAGTTCCTTTTTCTCTCTTTGATGATTATATCCATGTATATTTGTGTTGCAGTTAAGCTTGTACAGTTTCTACCATCTGCATCTTTATTACATTAGGATTGTGACTCTGCTTCACTGAAAGCAGCACCATACACAGTACACAATCAGGCTGCAATTGCTGAAACACAGACAGACTACATGAATGTTGCTGGCACTGTACACCAGCAGTTTTCTCCAAGACAGTTCTACCCAGAACTTTTAGCCTAAGAGAAAGATTAAAAACTGAGGTGACTATAGCACCTTATACCAGTGCATAAACTTAAGTTCGGTATAAAATTGATCTCAACATTTGGCAAGCCTGATCCCTATATTTGATAAGAAACAAAATAAGAAGTTACACGGGAAACATGTAAAAGCTTTTTGTGTCCTGAAAGCTGACACAAGTGAAAAAAACCACTGCTGACCCAGTGCTACATCAAAGCTTGACTGTCAGTGGACAAAACTACATGTAAGGTTTATGAAGTGAGGTATTAATGAGCTGTCGTTTAGTCCTCTGTCACAATGTATTGTGCTTACAGGAAGGAGGAAATGAGAAATTTTGTATAAATTCCAAACTTCAAACAACGGGATGTTTGCTACCCCAAAGCTGCGAGGTCACAGTAACAGATATCCCTCCTCCTTGTTATCTGTCACCCAGATTCAAAATAGTGTGACTTTCTAGCTAAGTATCATATCCCTACCAGGAGAATGTCATAATCTGTGTCCTTTGAAAGTGCTGCTGGAAGGCTACAGGATTTCTAAAAGGTACCAATGAGGAAAGCCAGCATGTCGCCTCTAATGAAAGCACAATGATACGGTGCTTTTGCTGATTCCTTGCTACGTAAATCTTTTCACAACCTTTTTATTTCATTCCTGTTAAAAATGTGGGATTTTTTTTTTTTTTACTTGAAACACACTGATTTTACTGGAATGAAAGAGAACAGAGAGATGTTCAAATGACACTTGGCTTTCCCTTACTAACAAAAACAGAGAAATGAGATATGCTGGATTCTAGTCATATACAGAAAAATTGGTCAAGCTTCTATAGTGAGGCAAACAAGAAGCTGCGTATTTTGTGAAAGGAATCAGAGCTGAAAAGTCTGGTGCTGATGATTTCTAAAAGATTCCCAAGTCTAACAAAGGTAGATGGTTTTATGGATTCATGATGGATTTAAACTCTTGCTATTGCTTTTAGTTGATGAGGTTTTACGTTCAAAGAACACATTTTTTACAAAGGAATACATTAATGGCAGGAATTTAAGACACTGTCAACCCCACCTGCTCTGCCCTTTCTCATTGCTAGAGATTATGGAGAAGAGAATATATACCTAAACAGCTGCAATTCATAATCCATCTCAAACCCATCTCCAACACTGGTGAAAGCTAAAATGCTAGATTATCAGCTGAAGATGCTAAACTGCAGACACATACTACATTCTGCCAAGCCTTTTATTAGAGCAGTAGCTTCTAACAGAAAATCTTGGCAGGCAGCTTGGGAACAGACCTTACACAGGGGCATGCACGCAATTCAGCTTTGCATTTTAGGTTCAAGCAAGGTCAGAAGTTCCCTGCATATTCGTGCCTTACTGAAACCATCTGCCTTTGACTAATTTTTGGCTGCAGCTATTATAAGCATTTGGCTCTGGAATCAATGTCTCACAGATCCAGGTTTTGGTCTAGAATATGTCTTGAAACCTAAAGATCCAAAGAGTTTTTATTCTGGAGATGGGAAACGTTATTTGCATGATTTCAGACTGCATGCAACTAGCACGTCCTCATAAGGCCTGAGTTTTGAATAACACAATGAATCCCCAGACCCTGTGAGTTTTCTCTATGCTGGAAAAGGCACTCAGTGGGAAATTCTAGCTACGTACTGAGGTGTTAAGCCTGAGGCTCAGTAGCAGGAAAGTATTTCAGCAGATTTCCTGATTGCTAGAACTGATTTCTAATAGTTTGTTCCAAACCACTCAATGCAATGGAGACTTCTCATGCCTCTTTCCACTGGGATATATTTATTTTTCCATAGTACATTGTTGGTTGCAATAGGATTCTTAGAATTTCCTGTCTCACCACTGCAGTTGCTTCCAAGTGACCAATTCATTTTTCCAGACTTAGCAGCATAAAGGCTGGCTCTGCATTTTGTTCACTGGATTTCGATTTTTCTAATAAGACGTTAGGGATAGTTGTCTTGCAATAAGCCACTATGAGTTCAATTCAGCGCACATCAAGATCAGTGCAAAGCCTATCACTGGCTTGGGTGAGCTTTGGATCTAATATAGAGCAAAGGCAGAGTTCACTAAGGAGCAAGAATGTACTAACACATTGTCTTCCACAAGAAGTGCCCTGTAAAAAGGTAAGGAAATCTGTGAATTGGAGTTGGCTCTAGTCTTCTCAGCAGTATGAACAGAATCATGCTACTGCAAGAACTGGGATCAATGTTGAGGGAAGGGTTAGAGCTAGTAATAAAGAACCAGTATGGAGATGCTTGGTCTCCCTGCCCCTACTGACTCTTGGGAGGATGAATCATAGAATCATGGAATAGGCTGGGTTGGAAGGGACGTTTAAAGGCCATCCAACCCGCCTGCAGTGAGCAGGGACACCTTTAACTAGATCAGGTTGCTCAGAGCCCTGTCCAACCTGACGTTGAATGTTTCCAGGAATGGAGCTTCTACCACCTCTCTGGGCAGCCTGTGCCAGTGCTTCACCACCCTCATTGTAAAAAATTTCTTCCTTATATCTAGTCTAAATCTACCCTCTTTTAGTTTAAAACCATTACTCCCTCTCCTATCACAACAGGCCCTGCTAAAGAGATTGCCCCATCTTTCCTGCAGGCCCCCTTTGGGTACTGGAAGGCCACGGTAATGTCTCCCCAGAGCCTTCTCCAGGCTGAACAACCCCAACTCTCTCAGCCTGTCTTCTCAGGAGATGAAAGGTGTGATGGAAGTAAATCATGCATCTAAAAGAGCCTCCACCCACCCAGCTGAACTTGGTATCTGAAACATCCTGACCCCTCCCTCAGGAAGAGCACCAGCTGCCAGCCTAGCCTGTTGGGACTCCAGCACAGGCAAAGTAGGCAGCAGGGTCACAGTCATTTTATCATTCTTGGCAGTCTGTTGATTTAGACAATTGCCTGTTTTCCTTACGTTTTGGACTGTCTCAGTTATTTCTGAACAAAAAGCAACAGCTCTGGGACTGAGCTGGATATTCCTGACTCCGAATATACTTCGGCCTTTTCATAAAGCAAACAGAAAAAACAGTATTTTAAGGAAATTAGTTCATTCTGATAGGTGTGAAGGACTTTTAGACAAAGGTGTTATTGACTCGACTGGTACTAATTGTGACCATTCCCCAAATTGCCATTTGGATGTAAGATTGGATTTAAAGCTGCAGCTTGAAGCTTTAGGTGTTTTATGTAAAATACTAAGTAACAGCCTATTCCTCTAGAAAAGGTTTTAAATCAATACCTGGGTGAACTTCCTGAAGACTAAATCTTCTTTCTCTGAACGAAACTGACCTTCCAATAACAATGCAAGGACAATTTCATCTCTTGATGCTAGTGATCAGCATCCTCCTTACACCTCTCACTGCATCAGAGGAAGAGGGACTGACATTCTCTACCTACAGTACTATTATTTGACCTCCAATCAAAACACACCAGACTAGACTTGAATTTTGCAATTGACCTGCTTTTCCTACCGTTAACGAGTTAACTGCAGTTAACCACATGCAGGTCTTCTGGGATTTGAAATGTGCATTTCACAGTTTGTTTCTGTCTGTCTTTAATGTAACACCTCTTTAGGCCTGGTACTCAGAATAAGGAAAGCAGCACAGCAGATAGGATGGGAAGTCTTACCAGTGTGATGGAGACACTAAGATGATAATAACAAGAGATAACGTAGCCAGTAGCAGGAAAATAAAAAGAAAAGGAATAATGGCAGATGCTCAGCAAACCGCCAAAGGCCTGGGGCTTGGGAAAGGTCAGAGCATTATCCGCACTATGGATTCATGATCTGGGATAAGGACAAGCAACAGCTGTAGAACTCAAAATACAAGAGAAGGTGGTTACTGACATGGCATCTACCTCACTAGGGACAGCAGCGAGAGCCATCAGAAAAATGAAGAGGAAAAATATTTTAGCTCAGTCACAAAGAATTGCATCAGACATAACAACTCCTGACAGCTCTTCAGCTTCCTCTGTAGTGGACACAATTTCTGGAATGCACAGACAACTCCTTGAAAAGACAAAATTGCTTACGAAGCACTCAATTCTAATTAAACAAACCCAAACCACAATAGTTACCTACAAACAAATAATAATAAAATGTTACATAGGTCTTAGGTGTTAAATCTGTCAAACTGTGTAGCTGACACCAATTCCCAAATTCATGGGATTTCCCCAGAAGACACATTTGCCTGAACCATTAACTTCCTAAAGTAGATTGTACACTTGGGCATCTGCTCAAAAATCTCAAAGAATATTTAAAGATAGTGAAGATCACAATGCTAAACCAATTTCTGTACCCACTAGTAGTGTTCAGTATCTTTCATAATTGATCTTTCAAATACTTATATTAAACTACTTAGGAAGATAGATCTACTTCCTAGGGATCCTCCACTGCATTTATACTTTGCCACCTTGCAATCACACAGCCTATCAAAACTCAAAGTAAATGTTACATTTAAATAGAGTGTAATGTAGCTACCCAAAGCAACTGCATAGCTATGTGATGCACTGCTTATCTAACCGAAACACTTTTCCTGTGTATCAGTCAGGAAAAACAGACGTGATTAAAACAATAAACTGTTACTATGTTTCCAAGAATAACTGAAACTGTAGAATGTTATGCATAAAAGAGCAGGTGGACTGCAAGATTAAGGGGCGTTTGCATATCATCTGGCTAATTCAGATCAGTCTTTCAATCGTATCTCATTTTATTGCAGTTCCCACTTTAGGGCAAGTACAGTCTTAGAAGTGCTTTGAATTATAGCTCTGCTGTACCAACCCCGAGTTTACACTACAACTTTCAAAATACCCTTCTAGTATCTAATGCTTTCCATTATGTCAAAAAGAGGAATGGTGAAAGGTGTAACAATCAGCTTCACACTTCAGCAGAAAGTGAGCGAAGGGTTATAAAGTCAGCTTCTGCAGCTTGTTACAGGTCCAATTCACACTCACTGGAAAATGTTTCAGAACATTAGTGGCCTTCGGGTTCAGCCCTAAAATGAGCTGTTTTTTTCTCAATGCTGCTGCTAGCTGATCCTACATGAAGTGCCTAGCCCTGTTCTTTAGTGTAAAGGATATTCTGCTTTTCACTGCAAGGCTGTGAAAAACGCGTACAACATACAGACTCAGTACCAAGCCAGGATTCTGAAATTCTGTCCCCAGTGTTGTCACTCACCAAACACATTGCCTTAAACAAATGACCTAATCTCTGTTTGTTCAGCTGTAAAATGGAGATAAAAATTGCCTTATAAGTCCGCACTGGGGAAAATTAAGTAATGTTTTCTAAAGTACCTGGAGACCCTCACATGAAAGATTCCCCAGAAACAGAACACTGTGTTAGAGCAGGTGGGAAACCCCTTATAAAACAAAAAATATCAAATTAAAACACCACAACAAAAAATTACAAATGGCACACAACAAACCCAGTTGGTAACATGGATGAGGACAAAACCTGAACAGTTAACAGCCCTAGTATTTACAACTCCAGACTTCCTATCACAAAGAGAGAGAAGGAAATCCTTTCCGATTTAGTCTTTGACAAACTATGAAGAAATGTTTTTAACCTGCTGTCTCTGAACTCATCACTGTCAGAACATTTATAGACAGTAATTGCCAGTAAGCTACTAATGCCTGCACACAAAAGCCTGTAACAGGAGGAGGAAGGGTAGAGCGGCTGGCATATACAATCTGGGACAAATTTTGATGGTGCTTAAAATAAACAACCTGCCCTACTGAAGTGATCATATTGCTTTAAAGGTTTTCAGAGCTTGTTGTTGGAGACTTTATAGGTATTTGCTGGGGTTATGTCTAGAACCAGTGAAATATCTTGTAACATATGGCAAACATGCTCAAGTAAGAGAAAAAAACCGCTGCTCATGAGCAGTTTGAGATAACACAACATAGCATCCTAATCCCTAACAGGGCATGTTCAGCTCCAGATTCAGATCAGATATATGGCCAAACTACTTAGCAGATACAGTGCAAATGGGCTGAGGAAGTATATGTTACAACTATTAATCTCACTGCATTAAACATCATTGGCTTATGAGAAACCATGAAAGTTAATACGATTTATCAACACCTGTGATTCTGTAGCTGCCCTTCAGTATGTTCCTATGTGACTTGGATCTCTTTTATATGGCATTTATCTTCTAAACTATTCAGTCAGAAATTTATCCCTAATCTCTATACAAATGCTTCCTTTATGTGTTTAATTTTTCACTAGCTTACTTACCATTATTAGCTTTTCTGATTTCACTATAAACTGTTTCAGTCCCCTTCTGTACAGGAGCTGGAAAAATGTATTGGCACAGAATCAATTTATTTTCTTTTTTTCTTTTTTTTGTTTGCCTTATGAAAAGCTCCTTAAACAAACAGAACACACTGTATTACTTTCAAAGGAAGTAGTTACATAAGCAGCAATGAGCCTGTGGAGTCTGTATGAAAAAGCAACTATACCCCCTCCCCCAAACCTAGACTGTAAGGTGCCGAGAGGGAGATGTCTCTCCCTCTATATAAAAATGATGATGAAAATAGGCTTCCCTTTCTAAATTTGACTTGAACATTCTAATAATCTTCTCAACTTAAGTTGATACTGCTTTAATTTTCAGAGACATCCACCACTAGAGAAGAGTCTCTGTGGATCACTTTGAAGAGCTTCTTCCAGCTGTTCTAAGGATCCAGGGATCCTAGACCTGAAGAGATCTATCACTTGGAAGGCTTACTATACCCCCTTTTGGCAACTAGCCTGACTAAATCTCATGGGTGCAAAAAAAAAAAAAGAAAAAATCTAATTTGCTGTTCTTTGTGAAATGTTTCAGAAGAGTATTTGCAGATTTCACACTGCACAGCTTCTAGCTATCCAGGAAAGGCCTCTCAGTTCCTCAGCATGGCGGACTCTTCCATTAGTGCACTGAGATCAGGTGGACATAGCAGGAATAAAGAAGGCTAAGAAGGCTTGTGGAAAGATGGAAAGTAAGGAGAAAAAGCAGACAGACAATATTTGTGCCAAGGACACAGCTGGGATACAAATGCAATGTTAGTCTTAGACACGTAGTTTTCAGACCCTTAGGTTTACGAATAAGCCCCTGTAAACCTCTGCTCTTGTGTGAGATGGAAAGCAAAAGGCTCCTCCGTTTTTGCTATCTGACATCTGTGAGAACTCATCCACAGAGTTTTGATACCAAACTACAGGCACTTACCCCAGTAGGGAAGGGGCAGAGCCTTGTCTAAAGGCCTGAAAATAGCAGTAACTCAGTTTCTCTATGGCCAGTGTAAAGACAGCTCTGGCAAGTAGGAGATTAGAACAATTTCCTTGATTTCTTGCATTGTTATAGATTAAGAATCCCTGGGCAACCATAGTAAAGCCAAGTGCTCCAGAACTCTGTGCATTTAAAATCACTTTCTTCATTTGGTATAAAGGCCTGTGCAGGCAGGGTCTAGGAGCTCCCTCGTCAAGGATCTCAAAGCATTTTAGAAACATTCAGTTACATTTCAGTTAAACTGAGTCTCTTAGAAAACCTGAGAATTCTATTAATATCATCTCTAATTTCTGTGGATCTTCAATAAATGAAGAAGTTAGATTTTTCTAGTTAAAGTTAAAAAAAAAAAAGTTTGTACTTTTTGCAAGAAACTGGAAAGAAAATTCACATTTCTGGATTCACAGTCCTCTACTATAGCTGTAAAAAAAAACCCCACAAACATTTAAAGAATTCAGACATATTGACCTGCAGCCAGACTCAAAATCAGGACTGTTACTGTTCTGCACTGCTCTGAAGAGCCTAAGTGTCTCTGGCACACATTCTAATTTCCCAAAGCTGATTTCATGTTTTTCTAATTCTGTTAAGCATCCTTTAAATGTTGGGAGCTAACACATCGGAACTGAGCTGCAAAACTGCTACTAATTTCCATGACAGTAGGAGTTACACTTCACTGAGTGCCTAATCACAGCTTTCAAACTTGCAGTTTTGGCATGAACTTTCTTTGCAAAATAGTCTGAAGATCTTGAAGCGCATTTCATATGCTTATGAACTATCGCTTAAATGGTCAATTCAATTTCCACTGAAGTAAGAAGTAATCTTCTCAGAATTTTAATGAGAGGTAGCTCATTTCTTTTGGAGTACCTTTTTTTTAGCAGATTACAGTCCTAAATCTACTCCTGTTGACTCTATGGAAAGCCTTAGTGGGAGGCATTTCCTTAGCTTGCTCTTTTTTTCAGACCCATTTCATTAAATTGTGATATAATGCCACTGCCCATGTTATTTTCTTTGTTAATGTTCCAAAAGTCATCTCAGCACTGAAAAAAATGTGCTAGGAGAAATTACTTGGATGATTTGACATTTTGTTCCTACTAACTTTATAATGTTGCCACCCTGCAGATAACTAACCAGCTATAAAAGTAAAACAAGGAGCATGTTCTTACTCAGCCATGACTAGTGGTTTCTCCCTTCTCACTTTAGGGGTATTTCCTGATCTTACTTTAGCACTGGCCTTTGTTTTTGCTTGGATTAACAATAAAGAGTCTAAATCACTTTGCCATCTTTTTGCACAACTAAGCTTTAGAAAAGATAAGCACTATATTTTTGCCAAGCATATAATCTCTGTAAGTAATCAATTCAATCATTCTCTAGAATTACCACCTCTTTAAATATCAAATTAACATTCCACTATGACTACCTCAAGTAAGAGCTGGACTGTCTAGCTCCAGCTCTACCTCATATTGGTGTAGCCTCTTCACCCCTACTTCAAAAAGTAGCTATTAAGTTATTCCCACATGGAAGTTTTAAAATAAAGCAGTGAAACTTTGCTTCTAGCAAGCTTACCACTCACTATCAGCAGCACTGTAATGAACTCTGTTTCTTGCTCCTCCTACAGAAGCATAGTACATATAAAGTTCTTGATGCACTAGCCTATTTGCTACTATACTGTGTTAAAAAGTATTTCAGAAATGACCAGCTAGTGCAGACATGGCTATAAAAAACAGGTAAAACCACTGCTTTCAGACGTAAGTAGTTCTTTACCTTCGAAGGCATGATGTACATCCTTCTACAGTTATGTAAACTTGTTTTGAGGTGGCATGCAATTATTCCTGATTCCCAAAAGTGACATAAAGGCTACTGCTATAGCTTAGATACTGCAGCATTTATTGCAGTAGGCTTTCATAATACACAAAATATGATTCACCTGCTCCCTAAGTGAACGTTAATATTGACTGGTATCGACACTGACAACAGTGGCAGGAGGAACAAATGACTGGCAAGATAAATTAATCTGAAGTTAGTTCTGAGAGATCAAAGAAATCTGGAGTTCCTCAAAAGGCAGAAGGAATCAGACTCTACATGCAGCCTGCTGGATGAGATGTGCATGCCCAGAGAAAAGGTAAGCACAGAATCATAGAACGGTTTCGACTGGAAGAGACCTTCAAGACCATCGAGTCCAACCTTTGTCCTGCTCTATCAACACCACTAAACCATCTATCATCTACCACGTTCTATCGTCTGTTACTAGGGAGAACAGACCGACTCCCGCCTCACTACAACTTCTTTTCAGGTAGCTGTAGAGAGCAAGGAGGTCTCCCCTCAGCCTTCTTTTCTCCAGCATGATATACTTTGTCTTCATTCAGAAAACAGGTGGAATCAGAAGAGGTGCGATAGGGATTTGGAGCTAGGTGATAATCTGAAAGGTCTGTTCCCTAAGAAGGACTGGTCATAACCCGCAAGACAGGCATGAAATAATATTATGATTTGAAACAAAACTTGTACAGTAACATCAACATGGCAGAAATATCAGTGGCAGTCCTATGGCTGAATTATTTTTGTGGGTATACATGATCACTACAAGGGTATATGAAGAAATTTGGCTTTGCTTCTCTTTTCCCAAGAAAAAATGTCATCCTGTTCTCATTGTGACAGGCAGCACAGAGCTGAAAGTATTAACCTTGCAACTGGGTTTCATACAACTCCTTCCATTTAAGCAGCATCCTCAAGACAGATGCTCTGAACACATTAAACACTTGGAATGCAGTTGCCACTTACACAACCAGAGCATGCACTTGCTAAGCATTCACTTGTGTCCTGGGTGCAACAAAAGTAATATATTAGGAAGTTTAATATCTCAATATACTTGAAGCACAGATCACTCTTACAGAATCAGTTCATGTTCTGTATGTCATGCATAGGTCTGAAACACGAGACAGCATTCAGTTAAAATAATCTGATCTCATTTACCACCTATCTTCTAAACATTATTTTGCAGTTTGCACTTTAATGAGGTTCAGTCTATGTAGCACTGACACTATCTTATTACTCAGTCACATATACTGAAATATTGTTATATATCAGGAATGGGATGAAAAGGCTATTTTTAGAGATGCTGATCTCACATTTAACAGGGCTTTTAATTTAAGTAATCATGCACTAGCATATCTTTCCCATTCTACACCACTGTATTGTGTAGTGCACGCTCAGAAACAGCTGGAACAATTAAGTATTAGCCCTATTCTGAAAAAGAGTACACCAACTATGGTATCAGTGCAGAATTTAGCAGAGGTGGATAAATAGCATGCTTGGAACGCAGGGAAAGCTCTGTGATGAATGATACCAGCAGGTGAAAACAGAGAAAGAACAGGAGGACTGGCTGTTCTGGGAGAGCTTTGTTGCCAAGCTTGAAGAGCAAGCACTTTTGCCCAAAAATCTGTATTACTAACTAAACAATCATGTCTCTGCCCTCTGAAATAAGTGAGTGGTCCTTCCTACCAGGAAAAAAGCAAATGTATCCATTTCTTCCTCAGTCTGCTTCTCATTCAGCTAAAGCAAAGAAGCTAGAGCATAGCATAAATGTCTCTGTGAGTTTTATTCACTCTTAGCTACTTGAAACTTTTTGTAAATTTCTGAAAGATTTAACAAATTTCAACACAGGAACATAACAATATCGCAGTTCTCCAGATGACACAGAATGATTGAAGTGTGCATTTAGGTGTTGAGAATAAATTTCAGTGGCTATTTCTCCTTCAAGGTTGCAAAGACCTGTACCTTAGCCTCATACTATGAGGTCTGGTAACTGTTACCATAGAACCACAGGTAGGAAGCCAAAGTTATCTGGGCATCAGTATTCTCATTTGTCTGTTTAATGTATCACAAAATCAAGGATGGTCTCCAGGCCTCTCCAGACTGAGAGACTAAATCTACGCTGGTCTCTCTTCGTTCTCTATTGCAAGTGAACTACAGGCTTGACCTTTCAACCAGTTCCTTTATAACGGAGGAAATTCCACTGCTTTCTGTTCTCTCCATTTTCCCACCCTGTGGCTAACCTCAAATGGCTCTCGGTGAATTTGGACTCTATAACATGAAGATTCACAGCAGGCTGCCTTCTGCTTAGAGCCCTGCTCTGCACAGACCTCATGTGGATGGGAAGGCCAAGTGCATGAGAGGATCCCAGGGGCAGAAGGGCTGCAATGAACAGCAGCATGGCTGCTACAGCACGATCTAGATTAAGGAGCGCTATTGGCGTGAAACTGTCACGCACACAAAACACAACCTGCCAATATCAGACCAGTGTCAGGGAGTAGCACCATGCCCAGAGTTGCTCCCAAAACATAACCATAGAGGTCAGACAGTTTATTACCTCTGTGAGGATCAAGCGTTGATACTTCAACTTCAGTGTACTCCACCTCAGCACTCTCAAGGTCAGGTCCTGCCCCAAAAATATCAAGAAGACGTTTCTTTGTAGGACTGCATGCTTCATTTGAGCTGTGGGCCTGATCCTGCTGCCACTGAAATTAATGGACAAGTCCTCATTGTCTTTGACAGGTGCAGGATCAGGCCCTACATATGGCAGATGTGAGTTACTCTGCTAAGAGTTCCAAGGCCAAGCCATTCCTAAGGACTGTCCCAATCTGAAAGGCAACTGACCAACTCAAGCTAGACTTCTTAAACTGTGGGACATGCAAATTGTGCCTAAAACTCTTACTTTCAATTTAACACCTTCAAAAGAGGCACAACACAAATGGCGCAGAGAATTATCTGAGATTCTCCCATATTCATGCTCCAGCTCCTCTCTCTTCTATTTCTCTCCCTGCCATTACTTTTTCCTCCTTTTTCAAGGCTGCTATGGCAGGACACTTCCCATTCTTTCCTCATATTTAAAGCCTTCTCCAAGTCTTTCATGGCCTCCCTCATCGCCTCTCATACTCTCAATTCCTGCTTTACCAACAGCAATCCATCACATTTCTCTTATGTTTCCCTTCAAGCTCTCCATAGAACATCTGCATCTTCCTCCTCAGAATGCTTCTCTGCCACAATGCCCACAAAAAGCCTGACAACAATTAGACAACTTTACTAAGACTTCTGGCTGACTAGCGCTGGTTACCTGGATACAACAGACACAAGGAACAGCTGTTGTTTTCCAGTCTGTCTTTTCCTTAGGGTGGAGATGGTTTTCCACTAGATTTCTGTAAAAGTTGGAAGGAACCACAACAGTCATCCAGACTGCAGTCCTGCAGAACTGCTTGTGGGTTTTTTAGAACAGAAATTAGAGAAATCTAATGACAAGAACAGCAAAGTTTTGAAGCAGCTTTCAATAGCATTGGTGAGACAAGAAAAAAAAAAAAAAAGCTGAACAAATGAAAAACAGTGTTTAAGGTGGCATATTAGTTAATAACAAAGTTTAAATGACATGCTTCCTACAACAGCAGTGATTCTGAATGATCAATACAGCCTCGTGTTCCTATGTTCCTGCTGTCTGTATGTTTGTTTTGCATGAGAATGCCTCTCTAGTTCTAATTTGACTTATTCAGGCCACAATGGAATAACTTCCATTCACCAACTATAAGCTCCTTCCTTTTGCTTTATGAAGTAAAAGCTATTGTCACACAAATGCAGAACAGATACTGTTATTTTTAGAGGTATCTGAATAATAAGACTTGTTTTTCACATCTGGTAGAGAGATCTGCAATAGGCTAGTTGGTTTTAATGAAGCTGTCCAATTCACAGTAGGTAAGGATTGAACCCATTTATTTCTGGCACACATGTAGATCATTAGACCAGAGCCCACTTAATCTGAAACAGATAGGGTACAATGGAAAAAACAAGAGTCATTGAGCTAGATTTTTCAAAGGTTGTTTCCAAGTTTTCCTTGAAAACAACTTAGTGCAGCACCTTCCTCTTAGTTCTGTGGTACAATGCTGCCCTGCACATTCAGAATTGCATCAAAGAATTATCGATTAGAAATTCCTGCCGCTTACGTTGCATACAACTTATGCAGGAGTCTAGTTCCATGCTCAGGATTAATTCTAGTTTAACTTTGATCTTTAGTTACACTGGATGCCTTTCGAACTATCTTTCAACTCATGGTCCAACAGACAACCAAGTCAAAATGTACTATAAGCTATCGGAAATGGCATCTAACCCTTGAGAATGCTTTCATATCAATATAAAACAAAAATATATGGGACAAAGTATGCTTTCAGATGGCAATACCCACATATTTAAGTACTATTATTTGACTAAATATCTTAAAAACACCGGTCTTGAAGAATACAACGTGCTAGATGATGCAGTACGTGATGACACGTTTTAACAAATACACATATATAACCTACATGGTGTCTCAAGGTATTTGGCAGGTTATTTTATTCAGATTTCATAGCAGATTATTTTTAGGTTTAATGCTTAAATATTTAAAGGTCTGCAGAAATAAAGAAGAAAGGACAGAGCAGTAAAAGAAGCAGAAGTCTGTAGAAATTTTTTTTTTAAAAAATTGGATAATTGTATAGAACTTAAAATTTTGAGTCTAAGTTGTATTTTTATAGCATCCTTCTTTAGATAGCCTGGAATCCAGCAAAACTAATTACACTTCATTATGCAGTTGGTAAATGGGTCCTATCATTGTCATTTTGCATGTAAGGAAAAAGAACTAAGCTCAGCAAAGGAAAGAGTCTTCCCCACTATCAGAGAGAAAAAGGAAAAGACTGGACTTATCAAATCCTTGCTACCATTAGAAAACATCACAATTTTCAATCATAAAATTATTTTAAAATATATTGGTTTAAGTATGAAATTACCTTTACTGTCATCTGTTGATTTCATGTGATTTTCGCTATCTTCAATGTAACCTGATCCTAAAATATTAAAGCAAAAGTTGAGCTCACAAAATATTTATTATAGCTAAATAAATGAGTAACACAGCTGCAACTCCTATTGTCATTATGTTTATTTACATATGACAAATTCTACTTTTATATTCACACCTAAGACAGCCATATAACACAGGTGGGAAGGATGTGGCTTTGTAAATGCTCAGCTATCTTTGCAAAGTGCATTGAGATCCAGTAATGAAAGGTGCCCAGTCATGGCAAGTTAACATCGCTGTACTGCGGCCACATCACAGGACCATGTGCTACAACTCAAATTGCCTCTCTGAAATAATTTTCTTGCAGCTGTGTCAAAACTGTCAAAAACAGAAAGTAATTTTCTTCTACCATCATTTCTCCATCTGTAATACTGTTAACTGATTGTCTGGTAAAAGTGTCTGAGCAGACTTATAAACCAGTCTTTGTATAAGACGTGCTCATAAAAAAAACGTACAAAGACAAAATTATGGAAGATACTTGGGATAATGTTATTGGTATTCCTCTGCATTCCCAAAACACTGGGCCCTATCCAAGCAACAACCACGCAAGTCCAAAATTTTAAACAAATGTTTAATTAAGCCAACTCACTCCTAGTCTTACAGCAAAATATCCTACCTGAATAGTAGTCTCCATCATTGTGCTGTCTTGTCAGTTTTTCACTTGTCAAGTTTGGAGCCAAGGCAGAACTGAAAAGCAAACCAATAAAAGTTGATGTAATTATCCAAAACCAGCCAATAAAAACAACAACATGATGATATACAAAGATCAGTCATTGTCTATGCTGACTACCACACATTCTTAACTATTGAAGCTAATGAAAGTTTTGCCTTTGTCTTTAAGAGAAGCACAAACAAACTTTAAGGTCAAAAATGTTCCCTCTTGGATTACTCTTCTTTAAGATGTCTATATTTGTAATTCCATAGTTAAATGCATCTAAATGCAGGCCTGACATTCTTCTACTTCTCCTAGCTGGCCTTTTTTTTTTTCTATTTTTAGAGTATTTCCTCATCCTGTTGTTGTGTTAGCAGGTGGTACATGAAGCACAACCATCCATTGTCTGCAGGTGTGTGCCACAACAAACTATATTCATATGGTGGAAGGCCTCCAGTCTCTGAACAGAAATACTTCACCATTACCATAAAGCAAGTCATCTTACCCAGACATCTCCATGGATGGTCCTTTAGCTTGACAGAGAAAAATAAAAGCATCTATTAATAGATTGCACAAGTATTTAAAAGTAAAAATAATTTTTAAAAAGTCGTTATATACCCCAGTGAGAATAATTTCTCTTGGCTATCACAAAATTAATTACCTATCACCCAGGTCCCTTAAATGTCTCTTTCACAGAGAACCTAAGATTCCAAACCCCAGACTTTAGTCTGGCCAATTTAAGCAGTCTGGGGCATCCAGATACTTCAAATTTTCCCAAATATTTTGTAACGCACTGCATATCACAGGACAAACCAGATTTACTTATTTTCTGAAAGAACAAGATCTGAAAAAATATCTTAATGATAGAAGATAAATCCCTAAGTGAAATTGTATAACACTGTGGGGATTAAAAAAAAAAAAAAAACAAACCCAAACCACAACCTAATGATCTTAAATATGTTTCATGAGGACTAGAGAAGTAGCTCAATTACACCTGAGCTGGGACCCCAAATCAAATTGTCATAGCTCTATAAAGGATCAAAAAACTCCTCAGGCCCTGTCTGCCTCTGCATTGCACGGAACTGAATCCCAGACCTAGGACTGCATCAGAACAGTGCGGTTCTGGCCTATCTCCAATAACCTTTGCTTCACTAGTGCCTTCCCAGCACCATTAGTTAGATGCTCCCATTCTGCCCAATATACTTAGAAAGCTTCAGCACACTTGCAGCTTAATTCAGGCCACCTGGCATTTTTAGGTAGATTTTTAGGGTTTTTAAATTCTACTTAGTCATCCTCTGAAGCCTCATCCCCGCAGGCTGTTTCTCCTGGAACAAATGCAAGTTTAACTGTAATACATTTGTCACCAAACAAATAGAAGGGAACCATTCATTACCCTTTTTCTTCTTACACAAAAACCACCATAAAGTGAGAGTTACTGCTCCTGCGATAGGTATTAGGACAAATGCAGCAATTACTCCTTTCTGCCAAGACGCTAAGATGACTGGAAATAAGAAAGACATGTTTAAGAGAGTATGTACAGTGACAGGTCATCATTACTAACATTCTGCAGTTCCTGACCTTTCATTTTACTACAAATTTGCCTTCCTGCACACTGAGGAAGAACTTTAAGGAGACTCGCATGCCAAGTTCACTAGCGAGCCTCTCTGTGACCGAAAACGCAGTACAACCACAGGCTGGATTTAGCTTGCATCTGGCTCCTTTGGCTTTTGCACATCCCTTAAACTTTTCTATGTAAGTTAGACAATCTCTGTTTATAAATAGATGTCTGTTTAACTTCTGACAATGGTGGAACAAAAACAAGTGAGGGAGTTATACTTAGTAACATCCCAGATAACGTGACCTCACCTGTCATGATGACATAGTATGCAGCTTATCATAAAAGTTAGCTTACCACTGACAGTTATGGGATGGCTTTTCACCTCCACATTAGCTCGATTAGAAGCCATGCAGTAATATGTCCCTGCGTCCTGCCTGTTCATTGCTTCCTTGCGCCACAGGACCCTGTCCGCATTTTGAGTTTTTTCAAATAGAAGAACTTCACGGTCAGTTTTTTTAAAAATCCTGAAGCGGATTGGCCAAGATCCCTCTTCCACAGAGCAGAGAAAAGCAGTCTCACTGCCATGTTCCACTTCTCCATATGGAATACTGCCGAAGCTGGCATTCTGGATCGGTACTACAGAGGAAGGCACAAAGAAAACAAATATTAGCACTATTAGAAACAACGTTGATGCTAAAATATTATATTGTAGAAATACTTGCTTCAATGCTTAGTTAAAACACACTGAATGCACAGTATTAATCTTCTGAGCAGTCTCTGCCAGACAGCATCCTCTAGTAGAAGTTTTTATACACACAGACAGAAATAGAGAGGTCACTATGAAGAAACGAAGCAGACACAGAAGGAGGAGGAGTAAAAGTGGAGTCACTAAGGCAACACTGGTACAAAAGCAGAAGGAGGAAATACAGATCTGATATGAGAAGATGCTCGTCATGAAAGCTGTACTTGTATTAGACAGGAAGCAGGAAGCAGATTTCAATATAAGACATGGGTTACTGTGACTGACCCCATGATAGAGAGGATTGCTCTCCAAACCATGTATTTATTCAGATCTGGTACAGACAGAAAGGACAGAATACAGAGAATTCAAAGCCACCACCTCAGGAGTGGCAGACTGCAGAAGGCTGGCTCACCAGGCTCCAAAATGTGACTTGCTGTTGAGAACTGCCAGTGTTACAAAATATCCTGAACCACTGCTCTAACAGCTGGGATACACTAGCTCCAGAAAAGAAATTCCTACTTGTTAATGGACTGATTATGCTTTGTATTTGTTTACTTGATACTTGTTATTTCAAATTACCTTGGCTTTAAATCTCACTGGATAAATCTCTTCAGAGTTTTATCATTCAGCTTCTCTCTAGTGTTAGCAAAGCATATCCTGGTGGAACTGGTGAACTTAAGGTGCAGTCCTACTTCTATAGTCTAGGCAAATGCAAATACTTATTTATCTTAGATTTTCAAATTAAATTCAAGGTACGATCCATGCCTTGGGTACAGGATATCCAAGAAACTTCCTTAAGGCCTATAGCAAAACCTATTGTTAACAAATAAGTTCTTTGGGCACACAGGGAACTGCTTGTAATGGGGACAGAATATATCTAAATCAGTAACAGTTTTCCTGAGCCAAACCTCTGAACCACTAGTATCTAAACCAGGAACCGTCACATGAAACCTCACTACCCTCTGCTCTGAGTGCACCAAACAAACCTACAGAAACACAGTATACTAGTTAAAAAATCCAACCAAGACACGATGCTTCTTTACTCATGTAATGACACGGAAAACCACACACATATGTTTTAAGAGTTATCAATCCTGACACAGGTCTTAGGTGGCCTACTACAGAATTACTATTTTCTTCAGTTTCTCTTCATATCTGCCAATAGCGCACTTGCAAATCACAGCTTTTTCACTTGCTCTCCGCTTCTTGGAGCACTGCTAAGATTCCCAGCGTATGTCAGATGTCATGCTTTCTTCTGCGGACTATCAATTCATCTTCTTTTTAAAGCTTCGACTACCAACTTCCCTCATGGGCAGAGGGATTTTGCCTTTCTACTTCACAGATATTTGTAGATCAGAGACCTTGCTCAGACACGGTAACTCCTAGTTGCTAATAAGGCATAATAATAGACTGACTTTCAGAGCTACTTAGCAACTGCAGCTTTTGATGCCGAACATACGCTCAGTGCCTCTGAAAACTGCAACTAATAACAGAGGTATTCAGAGGGATTATTAAAAGTGTGGATTTACACCATCTACCAGGAATCTAGCTAGCTAGAATTTAGCGAGTAAAATCATGGACTAACTCCAGTATCATTATGTATACATTTAGTCCAGTCGTATGAAAATCAAACATGAACAGATCTGGTCCTGAAATTTGTAATCATTAATTTTGTTAAAATGGCCTCTACAAGATTTCAAGTCAGATCTGTTTTTAACATTAAAATAAACTCAATTGTAGTTAACTTGATTTGGATTACTATAAGAATTTTTGCTTTAGTGACAAATAGTCTGCAATACAGATCTCCAACTATTTTTAATTCACGTGAGCAAAAATTTGTAAATATTTCGCATCCGTTTTGCTTAGTCCATCGTTTGCTGCTAGTTTCAAAACCCAAAATACAACACTAGCCAAGAAGAAGAATTAAATGACTTACCTATTACTGTGATGTTTAGAATATTGCTAGTTCCCGTGCCACTGGAGTGATTATTTCTAGCTACACATTTGTATCCTCTTTCGTCATCTTGTCCAATATTTTCATCCAAGAACATAGCATATGTGTTATTAGTTACTGTTTTCTTAACTTTATTTCCTTTGTAGAACGTGAATGTTATTGGTGGCGTTCCCATCACTGAACGACAGATTAACCATAGAGGCTTCCCTATCACCACCTCTGGTAAACCACTGACAACAGAAAGAGTTGGCTTGGAGACTGGAGCTAAAAAGGAAATAAAGGAAAAAAATATTGCAAATTACACTGCATAAGTCTGAAAGATGCAATATTATTTCACAGAAAACATATAAATATACAATATTTAGCTAGTTTGCACGCAGAGTCTATATTGGGAAGCTCTTCATCATTGCTAGAATAGAACCAGGGGGTGACTTGAACAAAACCAAACCAGATATAATAGAACATAAGTGACTTAGAATAAAATAGCATACAATGAGAATGTAAAGGAGAACAAAAAATGGATCAGTGACATGGGTGTGGATCATCCAAACTCCAGAACTAGCTCTGAGCCAAGGAGCAAGTCTGTAGAGCAAAAATATATGCAAGTACCTGAGATAGATCCTGCAGCACCTAATCAGAGACCTCTGTTTCTGCAGCACAGTGAGTCACAGTTAATCCCCCTTTACAGACCCGAGAACCAGCTGTGCTTGTTCCATGAGAGGGAAGGAAACTAGGGTGTTTATAATTAGTGTGCTTGTGAGGGGGTTGTATTGATAGCAAAAAATTAGACTTTTCTGGAGTACAGCTATCTAGATGACCTCTGGCTCTCTCGGCTTTCTGCCTGGAGAGTCAAGGGGAGGGATTGAAGGCAGACACTGACAGAGTTTCAGATCAAACTGATGAGTAAAAGGTTTGCAGAACATTCCCAGCTCCTGCAAATGGTAATGAATGAGAATTTCTTTGGCACCTAGCAGAATCAAGGGAACAGAAGGAAGACATGCTAACTCCCTTCTCCTAGGGCTAGCCCTGTAAAAGTCTGACTCGATTAGATCATGATAGGCCAAATCCTCTACAGCTGAAGATGACAAGCACATCTCACAGAAATTAATATTGCAAGAACTAACAGACACGCTACTAGTCCATGGACCAGAGACTGATTCTGTAAACAGACGTGCTCATTTATAAGCTTACGGTTTTGATTTTCCCCACCACCACTGGGTTCTAACCCTCTGTATCAACTCACCATAAACATTTATCCTTACAGGTTTGCTCGCCTTGACTATTCCTTTTACTTCAGCTTTACAGATATAGAATCCAGTATCATTCACATTAACTCTCATTGTTAAGTTTCTAGAATTTTTCAGCCAGATGTCTCCATGTGAGCTTTTCCGTAATATGGAGAAGTTAGCTCTCTGAAAACCGCTAACGCTGCAACTCAAAGTTAATTCTTTATTTTCATCCAGCTCCCTCATAGAAGCAGCTAATATTGGCCTGGGGAATAACTCTGCAAGATAAAAAGAGAACGAATTCATTCAAATTGAGCCTATAAGAATATGATTACCTATCTAAAGTATACAGAATGAAGGACATACTGAAAGGGACAAAAACCAGGGAAAAAACAAATCATACTATTTTAATATCATAATTTTTTAAGGGAAAACAGAAACTTAGCGATCACTTGAAACCACTGCTCATATGTATTACTTGAAAGTATTATTTTAGTTGGAAAGTATTGGCAGGCAAAAATCAGAAACTGAAATCTAAATCTAAATAACCTTTAACTTATGGAAAATTTACACTTGGATCTGAAAGTTACACTTGGATCTTCAGGTTACACTTGGATCTTGAGTTCTACCAAATTTAAATATATCAATCTATTGAGTGAAATCTAAGATGAACAGAAGTGTTACCTGACACAACAACATTCAGTTTGGTGGTTTTAGATGCTCTCCCTTGCTCCACCTTACACACGTATTCACCACTGTCCTCTAGAGTAGCTACTGCAGAGTATTTCAAAAGTTCCTTATCTCGTACACTGTTCAGTATTGTTTTGTTTTTCTGGAGTATGATTTCAATGTCATGAATGTGGGCTACCATAGTTGAGCACTCAAACTGTATTCTGTCTCCTTCTGTAATATTTGAGGGCTTGGCATTCAGAGTAGGCTTTATAAATGGTTCTGCAAGAGAATACATATAAACTCATGACCCACCATTTTAATTACAGCAAGCAAAGAAATGTAAATGAAAAGCTAAGCCGCTTACCCCTGACTGTAACAAGTGTTGTGTTGCTGTGTTCTGAAGTTTCGAATTCGTGTTTTACATTTCTCCTACCAAAGCAATCAAATTGTAAAATATGATCTCCCTCTTCAACAGAAAATTCCACCTCAGAAAAATTTCTGTATGGTTCAAATACATGCTTTTCTTTAGGTGTTGAATTTGTTTTTGTCTTCCAGAAAAAGAAATGTAAAGGAGGTTCCTCTTCTGGCAGCTCACAACGTAATTTCACAACTTCACCCTCTAAAACTTCATTTTTCTCAGCAGTCAGGATTGGCTTGGTCATTCCTTAGAACAGAAAACAGGAAAAGATATAGAACATTGCACAACCCTGAAATAAACATTACTGGTAGTGATTTTCACTAATGAACAGATGCAAATAATTGGCAAGAACTGGGCTTTTGAGGACAGTTCTTTTGATGTGTGGGTGCATTCCAAGGCACCTTCAGAAGAACAAAATGTCCTTTGAGAGGGTAATACAATGTCGATTCAATGTGTGATGTATGAAACTTGCTGTTTTAAAGGTACGACTGCTTCCTTCTCAGTGTTTCCTATTGCCACTCAGAAACGAGCAAGCAAAGAAACTAAATGCTATCCCAGCTTCTCTACCTAGAGGTGTAGGCCTCTGAAGAACAATTACAGGCCCTGCACAACCCTGTAACTATTTAATGCTAAATGAATTCTTTCCAAGTTGCTTTTCCAAGAGGAAAAATGTTCCTTGCAGTCAAGAACACATGGCTAGAAAGAGTATACATGGAGGTGGCCCCTGTTCTCACAAGAGATGAAAGAACAAGACTGATATAACATTGTCTACAACAGTGGTCCACAGTTGATACTAGCTTTGACAACGGCTGTCACAAGGTGAGACCCTCTACACATTATTTCCAGTTTTTCCAGTAATCTGCCCACCTCCTATCATGTTTATGATCTATAGGCACAAGCTGTATTTCACAAATAATACTTTCTTTAGTCCAGGGGACAGAGGGGATGGCACAGGAGGCACAGATTGCATTCCTGACTATCACTCATCTGCCGCGTAGCCTTGGGATTGTGATTTCATTTCTGTGTCTTAACATGAGGATTTAGTATTAAACTCTTGTAAACTACTGTGATGTCTACAGATAAAACACACTTTGCAAGATACCCTAATTAGCACTGGCTATTTTTTCTTCCCCTGGAAGGTTTTTCTCTTCTTGTACCTTAGAAAACCACTGTGTTTGAAGGAATACTCACCTGTTACCCAAACATGTAAGGGTTTACTAGATTTTGCCTTTCCACCTGCTTCCACGGTACATTCATACTCTCCTGTATTTGAAGATCTAGCCACAGGTATTTCGTATTTTGCATTTCCTTTGTATGATACAGTCATGAACACAAGCTTGCCATCCTTAAAAACTGTAAAATTATGCTTCAGCTGGAAACTGGTACTTTTGCTAATATCAGCATGGCAGATAATTGACATAGGAGCTCCATTCTTTACTTTGACAGATGGCTGAACCTTGATTTCAACTGTGTTGAATGTAAAAACTTGATGGAAAAAATAAAAAGAGAGTTATATTCATTTTCAATTAGTCCAACATAATATTGCTATCTCAAGCTGCTACATTTTAATCACAAAAATTAATTAGCTGTACCCTAGTAGCAGGTGTTATAATTTTTGAGGTCAGATCTCACAGATGTTGACCACAGCAGCCTTACCTTCCACTGCACAGATATGCTAGAGGCAACTACTGATTGTCACAGCACACCCTGTCCATCTGCTCAGTCCTTGCCTTGGGGGACTGAAAGAATCATTGATTTGGCCATGCTGATGGCCAAATCTACTAAATTTCCTCGAAGACACAGAGCACACTGGAATAGGTTTGCAGCTACTTTATGGTTTTCCTTATTTGTCATGGTTTGTTGTCTTCAACCCTAATTGGCAGGAGAACCGAGAGATGGACAAAATTTTGGACTTATACTTGTCTGAATAAACTGCTAAAATGACAGTAAAACCCTGCTTACAGTTGTATTAAACCCCAAGGTAATTCATTGCCAATTAGCAGGAATCCCTGGAGTACATTTTATCTGAAAGTAAGGTTAGGGTCATGTCATTCAGCAAATCCCACTTTAAACATGTAACTCACAAGCTTGGGATAATCTTAAATCTCTAGTTTAGGACAACTAGAGAGTAACAGAAGATACTTGGGTTCAGGTTCTGCAAGCAAACATGCACATGCCTCACTTTACACTGTCCAGCAATCATACTTTCAAAAGTCCTTAGTCCTGATCAATTCAAATACAGAATCATATGCAGAAGCAATACTTTTAATTAATCTAGAATTGAGGCATGTTAGTCCCTGAAAAAATACACTAGACACAATATTACTATTTAAAAAAAAAAAAATTGATAAGAAATAAAGATTATTTAAAAATTATAAACTTTAAGAAATAAAGTTTATAATAGCATTACTATATACAGTGCTTCTGTATTTATAAACACAGGAATGATAAATAATTTTTAGCTTAAAGTGTCATAATTATTAGAATCCTGTTATAATTAATACTTTTATTCACACAGCTAGATGAACAAGCATAGAGAAAGATTTATGAGATCATTCACTTTCCCTTCCTTTAGAACTTACAGCTTTTGGGTGTGCTCATTTTGGCCAGGATTTGTATTAGAAATACGCTACTAGAACAGGAAAACTCTCCTGCATCTAAAGAAGTCCTTTGCCATGTACAGTTACCAGCTATTTATAAATTGGCCTTGCTGGAGAGTTTTCGGCATAAAACCAATGCAAACATAGTAAATTTTTTTCTATGTGAATGGACTACATGACAAGCAGCAGCTAACATTTCTTCCTAGTGATGGAAAAAAAGGAATTATGCAGAGTGTACATGCTAGAAGCCAGCAAGATGGTAACGTAAAAAGTAAACGCATTACTTTCAGAATGCAAGTTCTGTACTCTGCTCAGACATGATCTTTTCTTTTGCAAGAAGTAGAGCAAGAGAGAGTGCCCTTAACTTATATTCTATAATTTTATCCTACCTCCTTGCTTATGGGCATGAGAGGGTTTTTTAAAGACCAAAACAAAATGCTAGTAATTAAATTTCCTCTCCCATCTCTTCTCTTGCATGCCTCAGTAAAGCAAATTACTCTAGGAAAGATTTCACCAAAACATACAAAGCAACACCACCAAGTAACGCTTTTTTTTTTTTTTTTTTTTTTTTTACCTGGACAAATTTCATACCGAACTACAGTACAGCAAATCCAGCTCAACTCTGTTATGGATGCACACCAACAAGGGAGGAATTAGTTAAATTACTTATTTTAAACTTGTATGTGAAAAAAGCCCCATCGTTACCTACCTCTCGCCTGAGCGTAAAGTTCTGAACCTGGAAAAAAAAAAACGAAAAGAAATGTTATCTTTCAAAGCTTACACATTGAGGGATAGTAATAGGAAACAGCAAAAAGCCCCAACAAACCCTAAACAAACTAGAAACACATGTACCCACCCAGATATTTAGTTATCAAACTTACACTGCAAGAAAATCACCAGAAGAGCAAGATACATCTCGTTCCTGAAGAACAGACACTTAATTCCAAAATAAAACAATATTCATCATCAGAAGTGATGCCTCCAGGTACCACAAACACGTTAAGTTTTTTTCTGTTGTTGTTTTATGGAAACAAATAGAATTTTGCCATTAAAATTTGTAAGTTTTCCCAGATCTTCAACAGAAACTGGCTAGATCAAGTAATAGTTCCCATTACTGGAAACTGGAAGTGACAAACAATGAGAATCTATCTGCTGCTCACAGGCAGATTAGTGTTCAGGAAGTGACTGGACTTTTCCTGAGGGCGCCACCAAATGCATTTGCTTTGTTTAATTTCTTAAGGTGTATTAAAAAAACAATAAGTTCCAATGACATTTATCCTGGAGTTCCTGTCAATATGGGTATTTTTAAGTCACGATTAACCATTTATGAACACAAATTACCTTTGCTATTCGACCTCAGCAGATCTTTGAGCAAGTATTTTCCTTCATCCTGACATGGAGAAGTCTTTCAGAGAATACATGTACATAATTATTCATTTTTCCCTTTTATCTCCGTTTCTAGGTCTCTCATCTTTGCTGTGGCAAAGCACAGCTTTATATAGGGTGCACAATAAATTCAAATTATCTCAAACCATAGCTACTGTAATGTTAGACTAAAATATTGACAGGCAGACGTCTCATACTACCATCATACAACAAAACCACGGAACTGCACAAGATTTTATTTTATGTAGTTAGGACAGTGCAAATGATACACAATCATAAAACTTAAACTCCACAGGAAAAGAATGAGTTGGAGCTTCATTTCTCAGCAGAAATCTGAAGCAGCACTGGCACAATCTGAAATAGAGAATGCTGGAGCAAGCCAGTAGCTTGACACTGTTTGAATTCAGGCATCCCTAAGAGATCTGCTGAACTCTTCTGCGTTGTTTAATTTTTTGCAACGGTATAAGTAGCCTGACAACATGACAGCCAACCCAAAATCAGGGATGATTGACTCTGCATCCAAAACACTGAAAACAGAACTTGACAAAAGTAGTCAAGGAGCAGGAGAAGTTCCAAACATTCTACTTCAGCATTTTGCCCTCAGTTTCCACAGGTATATAAATGTCTGCCTGAGATACAGTCAGGAACTGACGTAAAATTCAGAACACTTGAATTACTTGACTTCCTCTAACAAAATGGAGGGGGGGTTTCTGATTATGGATGAAAGCCTGAGGAAAGTAAAAAGCCTAAAGAAAGCCTGAACAGAAGTAAATCAGTAGCCATCAGCTTTGATTTAGGTGGAATTGTTCTGAAGAAGACTAGTTGTGAAGAAAAGTAAAATGTAGTCATTATCCAAAATCTCATTACCATGGCCAGTTTATTGGTATTCAAATAGAGAGGGGCTGGGAGAGATGGGCAGAACAAGAAAATCAAGAGGATTACGGAGATACTGTCCTGTCCCTACCTCTCCTCTTCTGCTTTTCTTACTTTAGTACTATAATTTTTTTGTATGAATATGCTTTTAATCTTAAATAGTCTGACACTGAAGAAGTGACAGATTTAACACCAATTTAATTTTTCCAGAAAAAATTTACTCTGTAACGTTTAGGAATTCAATGTTCCATACCTTTCAGTTGTTCAGGGTATTCCTTTCTCGGTTTATCAGTCCACTTCTAAGTCAGACTTAAGTCATTCCACTTGAGCCCTAACACTAACTCAGTCTATATGCTTGATAAAGCGAGTTGAAATCATGCCCTCCAAAAATTGTTTCTCAAGTTGTGTGTTCTAGAACTTCCTAAGCAGTGATTTAGTTATTCTTGAAAATTGAATGCTCAACTCAATCCTTTAGTTTCTTTCCTTTGTAGACAGTCAATGCTCTCCTTTACTTCCAGTGACATTTTCCAGGCTTGTTAAAATACTGCTTCAAACAATACTAAATATATTCACAGAAGCCTATAAATGAGATGTACAGTTCTCATAAGCTTTGCTGTTCATATGAAACCCCTTTTTTTCTTCTGGGGTCAATGAAAACTGTAATTTTTTCCAAAAAAAACCCAATAGTTTAAAGCTGTAAGTGTACGTTAATGCTCGTATTGCACACATAAGCGTGGTATTTCACAAAAGGAAGCAGGAGGGAAACACTCATCAGTTAAACAATGTATCAGCAATACAAACCAGCATCTACCCAGCTGCTTGGCAGGGAGGGAGTACAGAATGGCACAATAGTCACAGCAATTAATGACTAAGAAGTAAGCTGGTTAACTAGCTGTCCTGTTTAATCTAGTTTGCAATACACCACTAACAAAAGACTGATGGTTTGGCTGGTTGCCAACAATGGTCTCCAGAGCCAGGTAAAGGAAAAGGGGAGGAGGACACGAGGCAGGTGGAGAACAAAGGTAGATCAACTTTTGCTATTGATAACAAAAAATAGGAAGGAAGGAGATTTCCCCTTTCCCCATAAAATAATTCATCAGGACGTACAAAGCTCAGCAAAAACACAGCAGTCTTTCCCACGGAGGGGACAAAGGCTCTCCTCTTAGCCACAGTGAGGGAAGAAGAAAGTGAGTCGGCCAATAGCCTTCAGAGTGAACCAATACGGTTGAGTTCAGAACCAGGCCAGTTTCAGACTGAGGTGGAAAGGCCAGCTTTTAGGACGAAATCCTAACAGGAGTAAGGTTTAATGGTGCCAAAACCTGAGGCTGTTGTGAGATGTTGCTCCCAAGCGAAGGATGTTCCATTAAGTTCTTACAGGTCAATTAGACTGTCATTATCTTGATAAATCCTCAACATTGCCCTGGAGAGGAAAATCTAGCTGGTACTGACCAAAACTCAAGAAGTAAAATTCAACCGCAGGAATTTAAACCAAAATATCATGAAACTTGGGAGAAAAGCATTTCAAAAGCAAAAAAAATGGCTTGAGACCAACTTCCATTGTTAAAGTGGAAATCAGATTGACCTAAAGAATTTAAACCTAAAAGTAGATGTGCCAGTAATACAGCTGCATATTTTCCTAACGGTCATCTTACTATAATCCTTCAAGATAACTTTGATCTTGCGTATTGCAGAAAAATGTATTCTGACATACATCATATAAAGAACTCTATTCGGTCCCTAGTATATTTGTGGGAAAAGTAGGATTAACCTCAAAAATGCAACACACCTTCCGAAGCAGACAAAATAGTCATTATAATCTGACACAATGCTCTTTGAAACCTCTGGGAATCCTTACGTTTAACCTACCGCGCAATGAATCAGACCTTTAAATGCAGGCTGGGTCCCCTGCTACTTGCTTACATGTGACATTTCCTTAAAAACATCAACTCTGTCATTTGAACAGAGCCTAAAATCAGAGGCAAAGCCTATTTTCCTAACTAAGGGCAAAATGCTGAATAAGATTTTCAAATTTTTCCCTCTGCAAACACAACGTTTTCAGCCAGACCCTTATGACAGGAAAGGAAGCTCGTTCACACCACATTTCAGCTGTTTGTTTTCATTTGCTCTCCAGCTGGCTGGCATGACAGTAAAGAGCACACCGAAGTGCCGATCTTTAGGACTGACATCTTACTTCCTCACAGAGCACACACTGATTCCAGTGAATCTTCTGGGACCCCTAAACTTTGTTTCCTGGTCTCAAATGCCCATTCCTGATGGGAGTTTCACTTTCTTCAGAAGAGATGAACTCTCTACATGTGTTGCCTTCAAGTTCTATGTCACTGATTTCCTGAAATTTCTCTTAATACAACATTATGAGGTCATCAAATTTTGTCCCTGCTAATGGAGACTCCACCTAATTTCTTGCTTAAGGTCACTGATTTTAAAAACAGTTAATTGCTATAGAGGTCTATCTACAAACGCTTGGGATTTTCTAAATTTTATTTTTAAATGTATAAAATTTCAGAGATCTATGTCCATCTACAGTGAAGTCAACACAAGCTTTCCAGTAACTAAATCAAGAATAGAAAAAAGCTCTGACTTCTAATCACCCAGTCCCTGATGCATATAATCGTGTAAATGTTTCGGTTCCTTACAATGTGAATTATTTTGCTTACTTACCACTTTCTGTTTCAGTATACTCATAGATAATAAGAGTTATAACAAACATTGCTGTTTTCACAGATCTAGACAAATCCCTGGGGAACTGGGAATGAACTGAATTTGTTCTACAAACATTTTTGGGGTATATTGTCTTCTCTTGTACGCGCGACATTCGCATAATTTGTCTTTATTTTAAGTGTCTCTTTATACCTCCCTGGAGAAGAATAAAAAAGTAATTTTATCCCTGGATTTGAATATTTACAAAGAACATTAAAGAAATGAACATTTTTTTCCAGAAGGCTATAATTTACAGAAACTGCAGATTGCCAAAAGTTTGTGCTTCTCAGAATAAATTGCATTTCACAATGGCACCATCTACCGGGAGATGGCCACTGTGGTTCCCTCACTTCTCTCTTTCGCAATTAAACCTATGATTATTGATATCCAGCACCTCCTCCAAATGGCAATATAAATTACAGCCGGAAAAGTAACTGAAGGAAGCAGGAAGCTGATAATGAGAGAATATCACTGAGGCTTTCACACTGAAATTTTGCTTTTGAATACAACAGGAGCTAATATTACTTGACGCTTCCTTACCAATACGGTGAACACCGAAAAGAACACTAGGAATCTGAAGTCTTGTATTGCATGTAGCAAGCACCTCCACGTACCTTAAAAATTCATTCAGACAAAAGGAAAGAAATTCCTTCTTTCAGAGGTGTGAAATCTGTTTGTTGGTTTACATTATGATCGTGGTCTCTGATAACACCTCTCAAACTTTCTCTGTTCCAGCAGTGTGCCTAAGTGACTGATTCCACCCCTTGAGGGCATTTTTAACTGCCGTCTTCTACTGGGTTAACAAGTTCCTCAGTTTAGAAACAGACACCACAGCCTGTGTCACTATCACACAGTGCGCTTATCTGGCGATGTACCAGAATTTGCACTTGTTTTGCTTAACATCCAGTATTTCTGGATGTAGCAGAAAAACAGCCTTG